GGGACTAAAAATAACATATGGTTTAAATTTTTATTTCAATAATTCGCTTGTGCGTAGAGGTCTTTAGCAGTGGGAGGAAACGGGAAGACCCGGAGAAAACCCATAAGGTTGGACAGGCGACCCTACTCCTTGTCACGTACAACCGGGGATTCGAAACCACACCAGTTGACTCAATGACCGGCTTTATGATACAACGCGCACGCGCTAACTATTCGGCCATCCATCCCCCCGAGCCCGAATGAAGAAAACATCTTCGTTTTAATAATAGAAATAAGACGATAAAGAATTAAAATGTACAGTGATCAAACAAACAAAAAAGAAATTGGATTATACAGTGTCTTAATATAGAAATTACATAAATAGAATTTAAATGATAGCAGGATATTAATTTAGACTTTTGAACCTAATATACCGCCATTTGATGGTATATATATTTATACCATGAGTCACTCAAATACCAAGATATAAACACAAGGTTTCCTCATCGGTACAATCAATCTGTTTCTCTAATATATCTGTTAAAAACGACTGCCTTTAACACGTGCCGTCACAGCACGCGGCGTCAATCATTGGCTGGATGGCGCGTGCATTGTTTACACAAGACGTTACTGCTTCGGGCAGAATGCTGAATTTTAATCATTTTGATACCCATTTACACTAAATAGGAAATAATGTTTACCTACAAATACATCAAAAGAATGTTTTAAGATTTAATTTGTCGGTGGAAAAAAGTTAATATTTGAGACTCATTAAGTCGCATTGATGTCATCCTTATCAGTTATTGTAGAGGCCTAGCGAATATTCACTGCTAATCAGTGTGCGGTACAATGTTTCGGTCAACGATTAAAGTCGATCTATCGTGACTGTAAGTAGCAAATGGCACAGAACGATACCGATCGCCAAAATGAGAAGACAGGCTATAACTCCTGACCCCCCACCCCACCCCACACACACCCACACATCCCCCCACACACACACACTCACACACACGCACGCACCACAACCGACCAGATCTTAATCAGATTGACATAAAGGCCTACAGAATGTATCAATGAGTTTAAACATATGGCACATTAAAGAGCTGTATTGTTGAAAATGACAAGCCTTATTGCCTTCCAATAAATTGGCAATTGCCTTCCCTACAGCTGGAAGTTATACACAAACAATATTTTAATAGGGTCAAGGAACCTTTCCTAAGGTAGGCAAGCCACGAAGTAGAAGATATCGAACATGTAGGCATTTTTTAAAAAAACAACGCAGACCAATTGTTGATGTTACTTGTATAGTTACCGTGCACCTATCCACTGGGTATTTAGGCATTTATTCACGTGTCAGGCCCTTAATCAACCCTCTGGGATATGAGATGGCTTAGATATTGAATGGATTTGAACCCTCTCGTCATTTTATAATTAAACAATAAAATGATTAATGGAAACTTTTTTATTGTATTATTGTAGCAATTGTATATAGTAATGGCATACTTGACAATCGGAATTGTCTTGTTAAAACTTCAAACACTGAAATTTGCAATATATTTATTTTTCATTATCTATTGTTGTACATGTACTATGACAGCAAGAAAGACCAGTTCCTTTTTAAGTTTTACATAATACGCCTGTAAGGAAAATAACATGTCAATTAAAATATATATATGCTTGTATTATAATAAGATGGATATGGATAAATTTATGTATGCCAATCATAAGTCAATCATTACTTTCTTCGGTGGAATGTCTGTTTTATTCTTATCTTTGCTATAAAAGCATGCAGGTTCAGGTATAGACAACCATTTAGTTGATAAAGACGTAGTGTTAACAAGATGAGAAGTTTAATAATTTTAGCTTTGTGTGTAGGTCAGTATTATGCCTTATTTTCCCAATTTTCAATATTCGGCTAGACAGGAATTATCCCCAATTTGTCACACACGTCAACACCACTCGCATACCTGCCGACATCTAAAAACGATGTAGAGAACATCGAGTGGTTGCTATTAATGTAACTTGGAAATGACAAGACACTGTTGTATTAGAAAATCACTTCAATAAATGTCCTATAATGAATATATATTCAACTAAATTGAAATCTATATATAAACTTTTGAAGTTCCTGATATGGCCTACATTTGCCAAATAGAACTTTTAATAGGTTGCATATTATATACTCTTCCAGAAAAGAAACGCAATGTGACATTTCGTCGTCGGTATACCCTTGCTCTGCCATCGCCTCGGTGCAACAGGAACCGCGAGACGTCTGACTCGTAATCCGGTTTGACGTAGGCGTTTACGGACTGTCTGGTCTAAGATTTTACGCCGTCCAGAAATTGCTGCTGCAGTAGAGGTCACTGTTGAGAACCGTTACCGCAAATGACGTAACCTGATGTGACGATCCAGGGCAGGTGGGGTCACTCTTGTTTGACCGGAGCTTGGGCGGTTACGTGTTGAACTTCGCGGTAGGTACCTATCCCAAAGGCGAGAAATCTTACTCCGGGAAGGAAACTTTTAGCAGTATGGCTACATCTGTCTTGGATTCACCTGCTTGTAACCGACCGATAGCGTTGTGGTGTTTTTCTTCGTTCCGATGTGACATCACTTGGTTGGTTGAGAGTTTGCATGTGCAACTGATTTTGAAACCGAGAACCCTGGGATTTTAAAGGCCTTAGATTTAGTTTCATGCGAAAAGCTTGCGAAGCTGTTAAACTCATGTTTCTTGGTTCAATTAAGCGAAAACAAATTTCGGTAAAAAGTATGACCAGTCACAAATCCTTACATAATGACATTAAAAACAAGTAAGATTTTTGGAAACAACGACCCTGTTCAAATAAAAAGAACGGTGAAAAATGGGCTGTGCGTTTCTTTTTTGAAGAGTATATTTATTTTAGCTGAAACTTCTCTTCTTTTTTTATGTGGGCAGCTCTAGCGGCGAGTGAAAGTTGTCAGAATACCAGCGATTGTATTTCTACAAGTTGTAATTCATCTACCTTAAGATGTTATCATAATATCTGTACCTGTGTGACCCGCTGTCCCAATGGCGTAGGTAAGAAATAAGTGTTGAGTATATAATAACCGAAAAATACCATATTCGAGAATTTGAATATCTATATGTATTTTGAAAAGACAACACAGAAACAGAGAACAAAAATACAAATGTAACTCAACTCTTAATTTTGTTTTTCTTCCAGCAACCTGTGGGACCAGAGACCATTGCATACAGCAAGCTCACCAACATAACTGTAATTGTCAAACGGACTACCACTGTATTGATAATCATTGTCATTGTGGGTATCCCGCCACTCAATAAACAATATCTTTAGAAACGTACCACATGATTAAAATTTATATACCATTTTTTTCCCTTTCCATTTTTATTTTGTTAATATGGGCCCAGCTCACCAATTACTCTTCCGCTGGTTACCGACGAAACAAGGGTGAAATTTACTTTTAGTCTGTCTCTCTCTTTCCTCCCCCTCCCCCCCTTTTGTATGTTTGAATAAACATTTTTATGTTATGTTTTGGTGAATATTCATGATTTTGAGACGGGCGGATACGAAAGTTAAGAGGTTGGTTAGGTCGAAATGTAGGTGGGGGGGGGGGGGATTGCATGTTTACTGGGCATACGCGCTTTTGAGCAAGAGGTTGCCACATGTTGCTCTGTCTGTGGTAGAAAGCTTTCTACCCAAAGAAAATTTGGTAAAAAAAAAGTGAGAGCCGGTCTAAAAGACAAGAATTAACATTAAAGTCAATGGGGAAAGCATTGGTCATCTGTGGCCATATGCTTTGAAAATTTATTTTCCCGAAATTTTTATCTCAGTTCTGTGAGATATAGAAACGTGGTAGACAGCTGTAGATAAGTCGTCTCTAGTTACGTGCCAGTCGACATTTCATTCATTGGAGTTATGGTCATTAAAGGGTGGGGTGAGACTGGAGGGTGCGTGGTTTCGACTCCTGTTCAACCTCGTGGCTTTTCTTCGAGTCATCCACCCCATCCCTATCACACACACACCCACACCTGCTAAAGACCCCTACGCGCAAGCGAATTATTGAAATAAAATTTAACCATATGTTAGTTCCAATGCTTAATGCTGAGCTAAAGTATCAAGAAGCTGTAGCATCTGTTACTTTAGCCAATCGCCAGTAAGAGAATCCATAAGATTTAGATTACCAGGTCAACAACTTATGCTGAGCTACAGTATTAAGAACCAGTAGCATAATAATAGTAAATGACTCAACCACTTAGATGATGATTGGTTTTGTGTGATGTAAGGAAAGCGTAAAGAACAATCAATTCTGTTTTCCACTGTAAATAACCAGCATTCTGCTTAATCTTTAGATATGATTATAATTGTGTAGACCGTGTTCCATAACCAATCGACTGAACACGTTGACCAGATCAAGTCAGTTGAATACTTTCTTTTGTCATAAATCAATTGGATTTTGTTACTCCTTAATATCGACAGCTCTATATTTTATATATACCGAAATGAAATGAAATGGAGTTTAAAGTCCACTGTACTGCTCCGACTTTTATACATAATGCTACATAGTCTATTCTGTTGGAAAACGTAGTTTTAACATATAGGGGCGATATGGGATTGTGTATTAAAGATATACATGCTTGTTGGTCTTGTTGTAGACCAATAGACATCCGTTTAATCTTTCCACATAAAGAAAAAGACTCCTTCAATACATTACATTTGATTACCCGTCTTGGGATTGACGTATACTTTATAAACACCATTTCATATTATGATTAATTTCTAGAATCATTTCTTATTCTGCCAGACCAGCCTCCTGGTTAAACATTTAACAACACAGTTTTAAACAGAACATTGATTAAAGAGATTGAACTTGTTTTTTTTATGTCCAGAGACATTTCTTTTTCTGCCAGACCACAATCCGGATAACGATAATGGTTAAACATTAAACAACACAGTTTTAAACAGAAGAAAGAAATTTATTTCTAACATTGATTAAAGAGATTCAACGTTTTTTTAAAAAATATATAACACCTTCATCACAGTAAAGACAATTTTTAAAAACCACACATTTTGGTATCTGACATCTAACCCACGGGGCCGTATCCTTTTGCAGGACCCCATCTGTCATTAGGCTGGAAGGAAGTTTTGATTCTCTGAGAAATAAAATAATTGTACATAAAGCTAAGGAGATTACATGACAAAACAATAGCTAATTATTTTTTGCAAAACTTCGTAACATAAAAAATTACGTTTGTTCAAAACAATTTTGGGGCTTTTTTTTAAATCTGTCAACACAGGGTCTGGAAAGTTTGATTACTGATTGTCAAAAACTCTTAACCAAACACATATGATCTTAGTATAGATTATTTCATCTGACTTAAATTATTATATACTCTTAAAAAAAGTAGGGGATATTCAGAAACAATACAAAACAGCGGAAATGCACTGCTGCTTTTATTAGAGGTAACCAGTGTATGTTTATAACAGGCCAATTGCCTACACATGAACATAAACAGTTCATATGGGTGGCTTATTTGACGGCCCCATTTCACTCGCAAAGAGATACACTGTGGAAAGTGGAAATGGACGTTTTTTGATTTTAGACGTAATAATGAGTAATTGCTACACTAATCCTCAGACATTCAGCAATTCGTCGTGGCATGCCCCTAATCAACTGTGCAGTGCCACGACCAATTCTTGCAGTGTTGTCCGTTGACGTCGACGAACACGTCTCCCGATCAAATTAAACGTAACACACTAAAGCAAAGATACGCTTAACCGTAAATCTTATGCAAGAACCAATGGGAAAGCAAACATGGATAGGATAAACCAGCAAGCGGCAGTTTTCATCAACTCTTCCTTGAAATGTCAAATTTGACAATGAACCCCTCCATCTGTGTCCATGACTATTTATCATATCACAATCTGCATAGGTATTTGCATTTCAATACCACCTACTTTTTTTGAAGAGTATATATCCAAAACATCTTTGTCATAATTACCTATTAATTAAAACAGCATCGCACCAGAAAGGATGTGGCATTTCATTAATGTAGTAATAACAGACACGTTCAGGACAACAAAATCTAATATCCTTTCACAAACCAAAGACATTGTCATTGATAATGATAATGTAAGTGAATGGGATTTTTCAACACGGGGACGAACAAAATGAATGAGATTTCCATGCTGTGGAAATCATATTGCAGATTGTTAATGTTCCCCCAAAATAAATTAGGCCATACCGTGTAACTTTAACACTGATTTTTGCCCACTACATTTTGGATTGCTGTATTATTACGATCTGTAGATAAGGGCAACATGGAGTAACATAGAAACATTTATCGGTTATCTGGTGTCCTAAAATCGAGTGGCTATACAATTCCTCTATAGTTCTATAATACTATTAATTGATTTTTGAACTTTAATATTCCATGGAATATTTAAATTGTAAATACGATTTGGAGTGAATTAATGCTCAGGAATCGACTTTGAAGTAACAAATCTTTGGTGCTATATATTTGGTCATATTTGCGTAACCATCACGAGCCCTTGAATGGTCTAGAGAATGTAACGGTCACCGATTAAAATCGGTGTATATTAACTATAAGTGGCTACGATACATTAATATCAACATAAAGTGAAGCCGTAGTGGGTTAATGACATTATACCTGTATTATTGAGCCTTTCCTGCTTTTAATCTCCTTTACCATCAATATTGGGATGGGTACGGACGTTATCAAAGCAATTATCCAACCAATAACTCCAGCATAAGATGGATATTGATAATTTCCATACGATGGTGGTTGATATTCAACAAGAGTAAACACCAGGAGCCCCTGAAATCAAAAACATTAAATGATTTTAAATACATACCATTTACTGTATGTATGGGAATATACAACTTTAATTAATCTAGATTTTAACGTTAGTCTAGATTGCTAACCTGTTATGTATGCGTTTAGTCTAAACAGTCTATGAGTGTCGTCATTCCTCACGGGCTTTGTTCATCTATGGCTCAGTTTTAGTCTTCAATGTTACACGCGCTCCGTTAGTTTGGATTATGCGATTTTCATACGCTCCGTTTGTCCAGATGGCTCATATTCTTTTTTAGTCTAGATTGTCGATAGTAAATATTATTTGCTGGTCTAGATGGTCAAACTGACATGCTCTCTGTTAGTCTAGTTTATCTATAAACTATGGTGTTCTATTTCGGTCACGTCGCATTTTCTAAACGGATATAATATAATTTTGATGATGAAATGCGCAGGTACAAGGAGAATTCATTTGTCGTTTCAATACAGTAATTTATATTGGACTGAAGGGGGTATATTCATTGTATTTTCATTTGATGGCGTCTGTGAATGGTGAATATATTATATTGGATATGAAATTGTTTTATAAATTTTATTGTTTGGCCGTTTGTATAACCACGTAAATGTCATAATGCATTATTTTATGTTCTGTCCATACAGAGATGATCTAGCAATATACATCCTTAGACACATGTACTAAAACTGCCAATAATATCCTCTATATAATACGACAATTCTATAATATCCAGATTATATATACTATTCAAAAAAAGTAGGGGATATTTGATTTTGGGGGCATAATACTAAAATATGCAAATGACTACGAAAAAAGTCACTATAGGACCTAACAGAAGAAACATTTCCAGTTACATATTACGCCCAAACGCACCAATAGCTACCGCATGGAATGCAGGTGATGCTTGGGATCATCATGGGGGTCCAACCCAAGATTTGCACGACTCTGACTTTGAATGTTACAGTCATTGTGGCATTGAATTCCAGGGTGGAAACATCAGTTTAATTGTTTTAGTGACCAGAAAACAAATTTTGATATGCGTCGGCTTACCCAAAATGAAAGGTTACGTGCCCTTGGCATGCTACAGATCGGCACAACACAGGCGGTTGTGGCGCGGACGATGAATGTTTCTCAGTCTGTCATAAGCAGGCTATGGTCCAGATACCGTGATACACAATCTGTACAGGACAGACCACGCTCAGGTCGACCAAGGGCGACAACTCAAGCCCAGGATCGATTTATCCGTACCTTGGCCTTGAGAAATCGTGTCATCACAGCAAATCAGATCAGCGCTCGTCTTCAAACAGACACTGGTGTGAGAGTGAGTGGCCAGACGATTCGGAATCGACTGCATAGGGGTCACCTTCGCGCCCGACGTCCTCGCGTGATCCCTTGTTTGAGAGATCATCACATTCAGGCAAGACGTCGTTGGTGTAGGGATCGTCAACACTGGGATAATCGACGCTGGAGCAATGTGATGTTTTCAGATGAGTCAAGGTTCACTGTTGATTTTTTGGACAGACGTAGGAGGGTGTGGCGTCGTCGAAACGAGCGCTTCCAAGACGTTAACGTCATCAGACATGATCGATTTGGGGGTGGTTCTGTTATGGTGTGGGGAGGCATCACTGTTGCTGGAAGAACGACTTTACATGTTGTTGCAGGGCGTGTTACAGGCCAGTACTACCGGGACAACATCTTGGCAGTCCATGTTGTGCCGTTCGCACGACGTCATGGCCGCCGTTTCATCTTCCAGGATGACAACGCAAGATGTCACAAGGCCAGGATCGTTACAGGTTACCTCCAACAACAGAACATCACCACATTACCTTGGCCAGCACTGAGTCCCGACCTCTCCCCCATCGAGCATGTCTGGGACATGCTTGGACAGAGGTTACGTCAACGTCAACAACGTCCTGCCAATGTCCAAGAACTTGCTGCTGCGTTGCAACAGGAATGGGACAATCTGGACCAAAATGACCTTAGACGTCTCATTAGGAGTATGCCACGTCGGATCAATGCTTGTTTGGCAAACAGAGGAGGATTTACCCGTTACTGACTTGGTTGTGATGCTGTGGTAACTTTGCTGTTTGACCCCGGGTATCATTTTACCCTTATAATGGTCAGTCTGTGCCTTACTTAGTCTAACGATCATTTGGAATAAATCGATGAATGTGAACTTCATTTCATTTTGTCATTTGTTTCTTCGTCAGTTTCATTAGGTGACTTTAATAACACTTAAAAATCAAATATCCCCTACTTTTTTTGAATAGTATATATTATATTTTATAGGGTAATGATATCGATGTGGGTATGGTTTCCGTTATTTACATCATTTGTAGTATTCATTACATGATAGTATGAACATTCCTTGGCATTATTACAGACAGAATTGACAGAATTAATACAAGGGCTTCTTCCTTCTTTTTTTTTCTTTTTTTTGATATACCTACGACGAACATATTAACAACCCCGAAGAAATGAGATTAAGACTTCTTAACCTAGCCATACAGTCTATGATCATTGAATGACATATGGTAACGAAAGTCAGCTATTGATGTACAATTTCAGAGAAAAACATTATATCAGGATATAAATATCAAATAATAACTTATAATGAAAACAAAACCAAAAAACGTACAAAAATGCACCTCCATTTTTAAGAATTGTTGTTAATTTTTTTTAAAGGCGACACGAGAAGTAGCTGAAATAGAACACCATAATAAACCCTTTGTTAAGTTTAGATTGTAAATTACCACATGTGGTTTCGTTTATGTCGATGTTTCGTGTTCTTTGTTAGTCCGAATTATCAAACTATCATGCGCTCTGTTAATCTCTTTATATGCTCTTTTTTTGTCTAAATTATCAAACTGTCATGACCTCAGTTTTTTTGCATTTTCGACGTTTAATGTTCTAGGTTCAAGATTTCCCATGTTCTCGTGTATTGTAGATTGTCAAATCGTTCATTATTTGTTTAACAATTATCGTTATCATTATTTTTATCATTTAAGAATACTTGATACTTACAATTAACAAAGTTGGATTAACGTATTGCCAAAGGATTTTAAACAACACCGAGGGCCTCTTTCCTAGCATTTTTTCCATGTCATCGATGAAACGGTCAGCGCCTAAAATAAAAAAAATATGCAATGCGAATACTGACAATAAAGTGGGCGTATTGCTATTAAAATATTAACGTATATTATCATTCATAAGCTGCACAATTACAGATTTTCTTGTCTTGCTTTAAATATTACCTGTGCATGACGAGTTTTCGTGGATAAGAGATTATATTTATATGATATCGGAACACCTACACATTTACTGCCATCAACCTGGGTGTGAAATCTTTAGAATGAAATGAAATGAAATGGAATGGGGAAATCTTTAGAGGCATTTAGTAACTGGGTAAGGGGATCACGTGGCTACGTGGGTAAGACGCTGGCTCGCTAGCCCGGAGGTCGGGTGTTCGATCCCTGCATTGGCCGAGAAAGTTCATCCAGATTTTCCGACGTGGTTCCCCCTTGTCAGTGATGCAGGACGGAGGGCCTGACAAGGACAGCTTTCTAGTCCTTCGGATGAGACGAAAAACCGAGGTCCCGTGTATACATTGGAATGCACGTAAAAGATCCCTTGGCAGCTGGAATTCGATATAAGAGTAGGCGATAGTGCCGCTGCCCGGGCAAAATTCCCTCATAGCACACTGTATGGTGTATGCCCGTCTTCATTAGCCCAGCATAGGAGCAGAACAGTAGGACGTTAAACCCCATTTCATTTCATTTCATTTCAGTAACTGGGTAAAGCAATAAACTATAACACACACTTATAGAAGAACAATTACCGATTTACGTGGGCGATGTTTCAAGAGAATTGAAGCAAGCCAAGTACATTAATAGAGCAGCCCACAGCCTCAATTATTTGTACTATTACTATACAAACTGGCCTGTTTTAACATGTTGTCACGCGGATCAATACAGCGTTTATGAGAAAAGTGCTCTCATGGGCTCGCTCGTGCACTGTAGGCAGCAAACAGTCGCCTAAAATAGACATCTACGTGACAATCTTCATTCACTTATCAATTAAGCCATGAAAACAAGCCAACATGTCACCCGCCGAAATCCCAAAATAAATAGATGACACATATTAATTAATCGGACATTTATTTTTTTTCAAAGGTATCAAGCAATCAAACTGATTATCAACCATACACTAAGTTTCATCACTCTCTATCAGATAGAATCAAAGCTATATTGTCCCAAAGCCTCGACAAGATTAACAAATGATTCCGGATATACTAAGTGATTATTAAGTGAAATGATAATGGATAAAATACGAGTAATAAAATGCACACAAAAAGGCCCCACACAGACTCCTAAATACGCACGCTCCCTTAAATTGGCTTACCATGTCCTTTCTTTACGGGGGGTGGATGGCTGAATGGTTAGCGTGCGCGCTGTATCATAAAGTCTGTCATTGATTCGACTGGCGTGGTTTCGAATCCCCGGTTGTACGTGACAAGGAGTAGGGTCGCCTGTCCAACCTCGTGGGTTTTCTCCGGGTCCTCCGGTTTCCTTCCACTGCTAAAGACCCCTATGCGCAAGCGAATTATTGAAATAAAATTAAACCATATGTTAGTCCCGAAATGACCTAGTTGTGTCGAGTGGACGTTAAACCCCATTTCTCCCTCTCTCTCTCTCCTTTCTTTACAAATTGGAATATAACTTAAATTGGCTCGCAATGTCCTTTCTTGACAAATTGGAATATAACTTAATGATTAAAAATTTGTGAAAACGTATAGGCTTTTTTCTGGATTAGGCTGTTCAGCAACGGTTTTCTTATCAATCTTGTTTGCTTTATGGTATTCTTAACTAATCGGTGTGGGTAGTCGTTCAGATTAGTAAGGGTGCTTTCTGTGTGGTTGTGGTCATTGGCGAAGGAATTGTCGTCATGGCTCGGCGAGCTAGGGTAGCTGTGGTTGGCTTTTTGACATTATGCGGATGATTCAAATTAAAATTGATATACGAATCGGCTTACTAGTATTTGGCCAACGGGGAGAGGAGATAAGTGGTGAGAGGTATTGTAATAAGCCGCATCACGAGGCCAAACTTGAATTTGATGTTTTCATGCGTCTTGTTTATGGAAGACCAAACAACTTTTTATTCAATGTTCTTAGTACTATTTCTTAATTCATAGTCCTTAATTCTTATTTTGTTGTCTTATTTCGACATTTGTACACTAAAATTAACATTTGTATCTTAAACTCAATTTTTGTTTTACAAATCAGGCATTTGTCATATCAGATTTGTGAAATGTATCTTAATTGTATTTTAATATAAAGATAAAATGTATTTTAGAAAATCAAAAAGTAGCCTACATTTGCATTTCATCAGAGAAATACAACGAAAAACAAATCTGAAACAAAAAACTTCTAAATACATATTTCTCCAACTACAAATCTTACAAAACATTACTCCAAAAACATTTCTTCAATAACATTTCTCCAAAAACATTTCTCGAAATACATAGAACCGGAATATCACGAAGACATGATCTGAAATCAACCTGTCATACAATAAGTCACCATACAATAATGGGGAATCGTGCAAGCATATAAACAATAAGACAAATCGCTCGATGACTGCGACTCTAGTGAAACCACTAGCGTAGTATGGCTAATCGGGCCGGGCCTTCGAGAAAGAAAATAAATGGAAAGTAATCTATTCTCAGAAATTTGGTTTTGTCTGATAGCGACATATTTCTTTTCTCAAACGAAAGAGTGTTTAATCTCTTCTAAATCATGTAATCATGAATGTGCCAGGGATAAGTTATAAATTGAAATACGGATAAATAAATAAATACTTTCCGCTCATGCATTACACGATAACCCGTATTTTAACTTTTATATACCCCCAACCCTCAGTGACCCCACTTACTTAATAGTATTTAGCGTCACCCAAGTGTAATACCTTTTCAAGCTATGTAAATTTAAATGTGCCAGAATATAATTTACATTTCTGAAAAGGTAAATGAAACTTCTTTTCAGTGGTATTCTGTGTGATATCTGGAATGTCGTAGTATGACCCGTATTTTGACATTTAAGACCCCACCCACCCCTTCCCAATCAATTAATAGAGTTTAATAGCGTACAACTTTTCAAGTTATTTTCTGGCACATTTATATTTATATACCTTGAAAAGAGATCGAAGTTCCACGGTACTAAACTTTATTAGGTGAGGGGAGGGATATTTAAAATAAAAAAACTATTTAATAATAAATTCTCGATATCCCTTCATAAACAGCTGAACGTATGTTTATTGTTAGCTACAAAATGTAAATTATTTTCTTGCACATTTGTAATTACATACCTTGAAAAAAGAACAAAATTGAAATGGCATTAAAATGTATTAAATGAGGAGGGGTGGGGGGGCATTTAACGTCAAAATACGGGCTATAACACAAAATACAAGATATCTGGATGCATACCATGAAAAAGGTCCGAATACATTTTCAAAATGTAAAATATTTTCTGACATATTCATACATACGTACTTTGTTAAGGCAAATATAATTTGGATCGTCTGAACTCTATTTAGTGAGGGCGGGGGTATTTAAAAGTCAAAATACGCGTCTTAATACGAAATTCCAGTTATCGTAAAATACTTCGCCGGAAAGTATTTGTCTATCGCTCTTTGAATGTACGAGTATTAGCTATTTTACTGGCACATTCATGATTACATGATTTAGAAGAGATAAAGCCCTCTTTCGTTTGTCCGAAGAAATATGTCGCTATCAAATAATTACCTTATTACTAAACATAGACTACTTTTAATTTATTTTATTTAATGCTAGATCAGATTAACAATATATATATATATATATATATATATATATATATATATATATATGTAACACGCAGGCGATTTCAGATTTCACTAAAGTCACGGTCATCGAGCGATATTTTTTATTGTCTGGATTCTCCTTTATTGTATGGTGACTTATTGTATGCCAGGTTGATTTCCGCTCATGTCGTCATAATCTTCCGGTTCGATGAATTTCGAGAAATGTTTTTTGAGAAATGTTATTGAAGAAATGTTTTTGGAGAAATGTTTTGCAAGATTTGTATTTAGAAATTTGTATTTAGAAATTTGTTGTTCGAGATTTGTTTATCGTTGTATGTCTATGATGAAATGTAAATGTAGACTATTTTTTTGATTTACCAAATTAAATTAAACAAAAATAGATTTTTCTAATCTGATATGACAAATGTCTAATTTGTAAAACAAATAATGATTTTAAGATACAAATGTTAATTTTAGAGTACAAATATCGAAATACGACAACAAATGAAGAAATTAGGGCATGGTCGTTGTGCCTCAGATATTGGTATTATGTTGTTATGATTTTGTTTTAAATACTTTTTAGTTTTTAGTATAAGAACACAGACAAATGCATTATATAAGAACTAAATCTGCCTATCGCAGATCTTTCTTTTTTATTTAGGTTGATATCTGTATAAATAAAATCAAAGATGTTCGGGTGTATGTTCGCTCATCATGATTTGTCGCCGCGCTCCACCCTCACATATGTCGTATCAAATTAACCAGCATAACCCTGTGAATGTTTTAGGCCAGGCGAATTTGGACCCCGGCAAATTTGGACCCCGTGTGAGGCCGCGTATCTTGCTAGTGTTATTTTAGACATGTATTCATTTTGCAAGCCAGCTCACCAGATCATCAAGTGGCTTAGATATTGCCTGGATTGGAATACCTTCGCTGTTTAAAATATCTGAATGGTCTTTCTTCTGACGTCAAATGTTATTTTCATTATTATATAAGCATTTAGTCACACAGCAAGCCAATAATGAACCCTCGGATTGATATGATAGAGAACACTTGGGCTTCGCCCTCGTTCTCAATCATATCAACCCCAGATAGGATAATATCCTATACATATATCCTACTGTAAATAAGTTATTTACCGTATATCCATCCAATAATAATTGCTTCAATAGCTGTTGTTAAAAATACAGTAACTGAAGTCATATACCAATCTACAAGTTGAAAAATATATACCCCTGCCTGCAATATAAAACAGTTGTGTTTCGTTTATTTATTTTCGGGAATCTAAACTTCTGTTTGCTTGCTAAGGCGAATTTAAGATTGTGCGACGTGATTGGGGATATGTTACTTTACAAAAAGCATTGTGGATTCATAACCAGTTTTCCAGGCGCCTACTTCAATATAGATTTGTGGTTTCTTTGAAATATTCATTAGGCCAATATTTGCATAGCAGTAGCACCACTCCAGAAACATCAAACAGTTTAGGAGAATTCATGTTCCTGTCGAAATTTGTAAACACCGGGGTCGAAGGCGAGACCTTAAGGTGGGCGAGTCAGTGCCCAACTCACTGAAACAAGACGGTCCGAGTTTACTATTAATAAGTAAAACTAAGAATATAAAGTCGTGCATTTGTCGTGCTACAAGTTTTTCAAGCTGCCCAAACTACACGCTATATGCCTTTCTCGCCAATGCGTCACAAGCCAAACGATCAGTTGTGAAAGTCGTATTACGGTCGTGCAAATAGTCTTGACCTAAGCGAACTGCCCCGGAAGGGTTGTTTCTGTGGTGTCAGTCAAGTAGTCACACTATACGACTCGGGCCCGTCCGCGACTTGTTGCAAAATAAAAGAACAACTTGCCGCAAGACTTGGGAGATCTTTCGTGCGATCAACCAAGAATATCTGATTGTTGCACAACTAGTCATAATTAGTCACGACCTGGCCACGGTTTCACAAAACATTCTCAGATTAAACTTAAGAATTTACTCATTAATAAGAAACTATTTTTTAAGTTATGTGTTCCTGGATCAACGATATTTCTGATAAATAGTAATTGAAAGTAACGAGCGATAACAGACACGCGATCGAATTTCATTTCACTGATAATTCAGTAGAAGATGAAAAGTTATTATATGAGACAGTTAGAGGATATCTGACAATTAAAAAAAAGAATTGGCTGTCATTAGATAAAAGATAACGAACAAGTTAGAAAAAGTCCGTGCATTACCATGTTTTTATTAAGAACAGAATGAATAAAAACGGGGGATTTTTCTATTTTTCTTGTTTTCCCTTATCTAGTGACAGCCAATTCTATTTTTGAATTGTGAGATACCCTCTCACCGTCCCATATAATAACTTTTCAACTTCGACGGAATTATCAGTGAAATGAAATTCGATCGTTTGTCTGATATCGATCGTTACTTCTGTCAGCTATATAGAAGGATAACTCGTGTTTGTCATGTTTGGCGTCACTTCCCGTTTCTTCACGTGCTTGTTACACATCTCCCGTAGCAATGATCTCTGTGTTAAAATTATATTTGGAATGTATTTAACCAGTTTTATCACATATGTAATTATGACTGACACCAATATTGTCCTTTGAGTAAATTCTGTTTTAACTAGGCCGGTAAACGCCATTTCACACACTCTCTCTCTCTCTCTCTCTCTCTCTCTCTGAACTTACTTGCGTTGTGTAAATTAAAGTTGCCAAGCACATAATAAAACAGGTAGATGCTGTAACCATCAATCGTTTTCTTGGTGTCACATTTGGTATCAGATCATTTATAGTTGTAACACAAACTTCGACACTAACAAACTGATATGATGAAAATTATTTAAATCTAATAGAATAATTAACAAAGAGTACAGATGGTCGCTTTTCTCTTGATCCCATTCGATTAACCGAATTTTATTGATCAATATTCTTTACTAAATTCAAACCACCATAATAAAAATGCGTTCAGATACCGCGACCTTCTGAAAGATACCTTCTAAGCAAATGTGAAGAAAAGATCTGGAAAATGCCAGTCTGACATATTTTATAATGGAAGTACATTTTAATAGCAAAATGGTGTTTTGTAATCCTAGTGGTGAAGACAGATTCTTCTCCATAACACATTTAGATAGTACATGTACATGTCTGACATTTATTATTAAATTTAAAGTCACAAAGGCAACTACCGAAAGTAAACATTCGGAGTCCTTTCAGACCTTCCATAAGTCTAACTTGCAAATTGTTTCATATTGCATTTAGTAATTGAAATGGAAATACAAAGGGCAAAGGACATATGTGAAATACAATTACTGTTTATTACTGAGTGACGTTTTGAGACCAGGGTTCGACTCTGTGCTTATCAAGCACGACTGCAATCACAAGTAATCAATGTATATGTAATGTTTATTACTTAGAAAACCTTTCGACTATTAGCGTTCTCTCGGCTTGTCCGACAAACTTCCACTAGGATTCTATAATTTTTATCAAGCACGGCTGTAATAACCAGTAATTGTATTACTGATTATCTTTGGTTAATTCACGCTCAAAAGAGCTCCCGATATTTTTATTTATTGAAATTCGCCCAAAAAAAGCGATGGCCAAGAACTAATAACAAGATTACATGAATTTTTATACTGATACCGCGTTTGCAACTTATGATTAGTAAGACATATTAATGAAGGCTTGTGCTTAATAAAATCTTACGATAACAATCGTTGATCTTCGAACCCCTTTAGGTTGTATTTCTATTATTTTATAATTACCACGCGTATAAAAGATGATTATAGCAAGTAAGCTAATATTCCTTACCATGGAGTCCAAAGCCACACATACCATCATCAAAAAGAAGAGTACTGCCCAGAGCTGTGGTACTGGTAACTGAGCGAGAGCTTCAGGATAAGTTATAAAAGCCAACCCAGGACCTTGAAAGATAAGCAATAAAGAACATAAACGAAATAAGACCTTCCAATGCTCAGTTATCTTTGGAAAAGATACATGGCGTCAATGGAACAAATGTGGTCCTGAGTGAATATATATCAAAAGTTGTTAGCTATGCGAAGAATCTAGAAAATAAAGTCAACACAAATTGCCATGTAAATGGGTTGGAAGAGGGACCTTTTAACAGGAAGCAATAACAAGTCGTAATCTATATGCAAATGTACAGATATCCACTAACAATCGGTTGCCATGCAAGATACGTTCACATTTTGCAAGAAGTGGACAGAGAACAAGCTCAAACACTTATTTTGCATACAATCTGGGTCCATAATCCAGGATGTCACGGACCGACATGCGTCAATATCAAAAAGAATCGAGATCTTTGGGATATAAACATTTCAAGTTGTATCAAAATCGGATAAAACAAAATGAGGTCTCTAGAGGCTCCAAAAGTTAAAAACGTGATTTTTCGTACAATCAGGGGCATATTCAAGGAAGTTAACGTGCGTTATGGGCCAATATCGAAAGGATCTATATATTTTAGGTTTCACCAAAGTGGGGTCAAAATTGTGATCTCTTGAGGGTCCAGAACCTTGGTATTACATGTTTTTAAATTATTTGCTAAAAGGCAGTGGCCATTGCATCGCAGTTCTAGTATTATTTCTACTTTTCCCAAGTTGACATAATATACCTGTACGGACAATCTCAGCTACACCTAAACCGGTTTCGTGGGACATAAATCCAAGTACAGCGAAAACAGCAAACCCCGCGTAAAAACTAGTACCCTCACAAACAATAGAATATATAATAGTATCTCTGAAATATATATAGACATATATATTAAAAATTACAATCTATTTTATATATATATATATACATTGTTGTCACCAAATATGAAGAATATTAATCGAGGTTTGGAAATTTATAAAACTGCATAAATGTTCCGACATTGTGTGAGGTCGAGCATTGAGATGGCAATTTAGATCTTTCTTTCGTGTTTAATGTTTAAGGTTGGTCTAGATATAGCCCCCCCCCCCCCCCCTGATACGGGGAATATTTATTTCCAAACGAAAAAACGTGACAAAATGAGGGGTTTAAATCCAGTCACCATCAAAAATTATTTAAGTCTAGGGTACCTCATGACATTGTTGTTAAATTTATTATAACTAGCCATCGTAATAAGAGCTCCCCAGCCCATTCCCATTGAAAAAAATATCTGCATCATAGCTTGAGCCCAGATCTGCAAAAACAAACATCATGTACAGAACATAGCATTTCAAGCGCGTTATACATTACATTTTGGCATTTCCAGCGCTTAGTTAATTTATACACGATATTGCTTTCAAATCGCAATATCGTACGTTAATATAAATATAAAAACCTAGAAATTTTTATATGAATTACAGATTTATGCTTACATCTCTAAAATACGAGGACGAACTGTGGGCCGGAATCTCCTGAGCCTGGTCCCATAAGTTGCCCCGGCCACGAGAATATGATGCTTTCCAGCCAGAGTATATCCGGAGTACAAAACCATCAGAGACTTCTTTGCTTGCGAATTCATCAAAATCGACGTTAATTGTTGACAAAAATGAGCACCCGAAACTACGTGAGGACAAAACTTATAATGGGACTAAAATGTCCACAGACTCCTCTTCGGTTCACCCCTGCACTAAACGTACTCTAAAATACTGCCACTATAGGAATTATTATCTGTTACACAAAAATTGTACAGTACCTGGGGATTAGCTAATTTACTAAAATCAGGAATTATGTAGAATTTGATGCCATCTATGGCACCAGGTAAGGTAGCAGCTCTAATTAAGATGATTGTAACAAGAATATATGGTGCTATAGCTGTCACATACACTACCTGATTAAAACAAATTATAACTGAACCAGACAAAGCTTTCTAAATATCAATAAGTCTCAACAGAATACAGTGTAAAGCTGACACGGTACTTTAATGTGTCTACCTCCTTCGAAACCATTGCAAATATATATAAATCTATTCATCTGACCCATCGGGTCCTTTTCTACGCTCATGAATGGTGGTTGGTCGATATAAATGCTGTTTTACAAGAGTAATGCATATGTTACAGACGCAATTAAAGAAATCAAAACGTAATGTTTTGTTCTAAACAAAATGGAAGAAATTAATTAGAGTATGTCCACAATATTTAAAATAATATAATGGGATATTTACAAAATCCAAATACCTACAGAAACTGTCATTCAACTTTTCGATGATTAGCGGAGACAGGGCTGTGATTTGGACAGGCTTACAAGAATTATTACGCCAGTTCCACAACTGAGACGCATGGCATTATCCCTTTTTAAAAATACCGGCGATCATTCTTAGACATGTTGAAAGTCTACTCCAAAATGTCTAGATGTTTCGGTCACACGTAACCTCTAGATTCTTCAAGAAATCTCGTAGAATCGACAATGAAAAAATATTTGTCTAAACTAAATTGACTGGATATGTGTAATGTGTGAGCATTGCAGATAACTGAAAATTATGAATTTTGTCGTCCGGGGAAAGAAATTAACTAGGTCTCCACTTTTGCGTCGAGCATACACGTGCTTCTCCTCCTAATAACTTAATCACTTTTCCTATTAAGTTAAGTTGGCCTCTTTTTATTTGCGCTAAACATGTATTCAACATCAACAATTCAATGGCCAAGGAATAATATTATATACACACCAACCTTTCCGACTGACTTTACCCCTTTCAATATGCAGAGAAATACCATGATCCATGCAATCACTAATGATATAACCAAGTGCCACTGCATAGCACCAATATCATCTATACCACTCGATATCCTTAACACATTGTAGCTTTACAAAAAAAAAATCACAAAATAGATAGATGACACCAAGCATGGGATACAGGATGTTGGGTCAAAGCACTAAGTTTCATTACTCTTACTGACTTAGAATCAAAGTTATCGAGCTCCAAAGTTTCGTTCAATCAAATTGCTCACAATTCGGCTCATGCTACACAGAAAATGATCAAGGCATTGATATAGTTAAATTTTATTCATTTAGAATCAGTGTCTCAAAGCAACGACAAAATCAAATTGCTTATGTCTGTCTAGCCTTTGCAGGAAATGTCCATTACTACATCAAATGTTTTTTGGGGTTTTTGTTTTTTTTCTTTTGTACTATTCCATTTTGTTTTAATAATATGTATGCTGCTCATAATTGATATAATAAAATTGTATCTATTCCTCTTTGGGTGATATCGCTGACAAATGTTTCCTAGGAAAATTGCCAGAAGGAGTCAAAAGGTAGGCTAAGACCAGCTTGGGATGGAGACGATCTCTTTTAAATGTTAAAGACACATAGTCTTTTGCAGGATAACGTCCAAGGTAGAATTCATCCAAAGGAGAAAGCTCCGGGTACGATAAGTATATATGGCGAGCTGTGCCGTCAATGCTAAGATCTTATATAAGGTAGGTAGTTAGATCTGACTGACAGCTGGGTCAATTGTACCCGCCGCTTGTCCGACCTAGCTCCAGGGAATGCAAGCAAACATTCACCGGGCGATGCGTTGTCGTGCCATAAGCCTTCCCGACATCCCTTTACGTAGGTACGTCCGACTAGCAGTAGCCCTCTGGATGATCACTTATGGATCCCGTCCGTTAGGTCTTGGGGTAAACCCAAAGTCTTCACAGAGTAGAACACTCTTCCTGTCCCTCCGAGGTCATAATATCTTGGATACCAAGAACGTGTAGATTAACTCATAGAGCTTGTGTCTGCTTACCCTAGTCAGGTGGACGGACGAACCCATTTAAGTAGACCCCTGCTTCTCCGAAAGGCGAGGTACAAAAACAAAGTATACATTAAAGGAGCTAAATCGTTAATTTTTAGGACCTAGAAATTGACACAAATCGGTCGCAACGCATATAATATGAATGTATATAAACTGACTTATATTCAGTCGTTTCTGTTTTTAGTATAATTTCTAATCAGTTCGGCGAAATACGCCAGAAGTCTAAATCGAATGGCAGCCTCTAGCGTCTGGCTGTTCCATTCTACGCGGATAGTATTTATTGCGCATGCTTTCAAGTTAAGAATATGAGGTCACCGTTTGATATAACTTGTGGAATATATCTAGCCTCGTTCTTCGAGCCCTTGTTTCAAATGGCACTGAAACGCATTATGGTACGCGATTCGTGTACCAATGGTAAACAGGTTATTTTGTCTTAAATATTGAATATCAGAAGTCCATCTTTTCCCGGTAGGATCACAACATCAATGTTGATTTCAATTGACAAATAACTCGTGTTTTCAAAGTCGAACCCTTTGGATGATATTGGGTTGGAGACTAAGACATGGCGAATTTAAAGTTTTAAGGCCAAATAAGGACATTCCATAACCTATATATATTTTATACATAATATTAACTTTCTTATTGTATATTTTAGTTTCTTTGATCGTGGATGGGAGCCACCGTGCTAAGTGGGTAAGACGCTGCCTCTCTAGTCAGGAGGTCGCGTGTTCGATCCCTGCATTGGCCGAGAAAGTTCAGGACGGAGGGCCTAACAAGGACAGCAGTCTAGTGATTCCCGTGCGACAAAAAAAAAAACAGGTCCTGGGTATACATTGGCGTGCACGTAAAATATTCCTTGGCAGTTGGAATTCGACATAAGAGTAGGCCATAGTGCTGCTGCCCGGGCAAAATGTCCCTCATAGCACACTGACGTATGCCTGTCTTCATTAGCCCAGTCAGAGCAGGACAAGGACAGTAGTCAGGTCGTTCAGGTCGGGCGAAAAACAAAGAGAACCCGTCTATACATTGGCGTGCACGTAAAAGATCCCTTGGCAGTTGGAATTCGACATAAGAGTAGGCCATAGTGCCGCTGCCTGGGCAAAATTTCCCTTATAGCACACTGTATGACGTGTGCCTGTCTTCATTAGCCCAGTCAGCAGAACAGTAGGTCGTTAAACCCTATTTCATTTCATTTCATTTGATCGTGCATGGTGACATTATTTTACACATTAAAAATATCTATCCGAATATTGTTCTCCATAATGCAGAATTTATAGTAAAAATTCTTACTTCCAAAATTCTTCTGTAGATGTCTGTATTAGGCTGGAATTGCCTGTTATATTTGCTGCCTTCGTTAACAGAGAATAATTTGTTGTATGCATAGTATCGGTGGTGTTCGCTATATTGTTTGTCATATTCACAAGATACCGCGAAAAATTGCTCATCATTTTTTTTCGAACAAAACACGTGTCTGTATTCCACCAATTATCACACGTTGTCCATGGTAATGGCGATAAAAACGAATTATATAGGTAATATAAAATCCAGGAGAATATATTATTAACATATAAACAAAAGACGAAAGAAATACCGATCATACCCGCTCCAATACCTGTAAGAAATTAAACTTAGATTTATCAACTAGCATAGGACTAATCAAAATATAAAATTCAAAGAATGAATTAGAACATTTACAAATTGACAAGTTAGCTAAGATGTGGTTGTCATGCAAAATATGCCCACATTTTGCAAGGATGATTTTTCGTCCAATCAGGGGACATAATCCAAAAAGTTATTGTCCGATCATCAAAAGGAATAGAAATCTGTAGAATATAAACATACATTTTAAGTTTCATCGAAATCAGATAAAAATTCTGACCTCTAGAGGGTCTACGACTTGGTATTACATACTTTTACACTATTTGCGTACAAGCTGCGGCCATTTTGTCGGTCAGTTTCGGTCTGATTTTCACGAAATTCGAACTCAACCGCCATTCGGTTACTACACTGATATATTTAAACGTTGTTTTTTTTTTTTAAATCGGGCAAATAGTGTGACCTCTAGAGATTCTACAAGCTAAAATCATGATTTTTCGTTTATTCAGGGGTCATAATTTATGAAGTTTCGATCCGATACATGCAAATATCGAAAGGAACCGAGGTCTTTTAGAGATACACCTATATTTTAAGTTTCGTCAAAATGGATAAGAATTGGAACCTGTAGAGTGTCTACAAACACATCGCAGACGGACGAATTGACAGGCTCGACGATAATATACTTCCACATGAAAATGTGGGCGTATAAAAATATAAAACGGAGCTTGGTGTGATCTGTCTAAACATAATATAGTAAAATATAGTGCTAGGTACGTTCAATTTACGGGGGGTTGGATGGCTGAATGGTTAGCGTGTGCGCGTTGTATCATAAAGTCTGTCATTGAGTCGACTGGCGTGGTTTCGAATCCCCGGTTGTACGTGGCAAGGAGTAGGGTCGCCTGTCCAACCTCGTGGGTTTTCCCCGGGGCCTCCGGTTTCCTCCCACTGCTAAAGACCCCTACGCGCAAGCGAATTATGTAAATAAAATTAATCCATATGTTAGTCCCGAAATGACCTAGTTTGTATCGAGTGGACGTTAAACCCCATTTCTCTCTCTCTCTCTCTCTCTCTCTCTCTCTCTCTCACGTTCAATTTACAAGTCAAACATTTTTTGGTGGCTGTCATGAAGTGGTAAATACGATTCTCTAAGAGGGCATCTTTAACATATTGAGAATGAAAACATAGATATATTATTAATATTTCATTCGTAAGACTTAATATTATGATTTATCCGGTAAGATCTACTTGGTCTGCTCATGGCATTCTTCATATGATTATGCACAACGCTAAATCTCCATATACATGTATGCTATATGTATATGCAATTAGGTAGAAAGCCCTTCTGTCTTTGCAAAACATCAAAAATATATGACTTTTTTCAATTTACCGAAAAACCAAAGTTCCCATTTACTGTTTTTATTGCATACCCTGGCTAGCTCGGTGAATAATTTTTTGTAATAAAAATGATATGTTTACACATAAAGCAATAGTTAAAACATACAAACAATTCAAGTCAAAGGATGCGGACGAGCAGACAGACGGACAGTGAATTGTCCATTGGGGGGGGGGGGGGTCTGTACCATTATTTACCTCTGAAAGCAGGGCATATATTCCATACATCATATGCACCTTTACCGGAATATTGTCCAATTGATAATTCTAAAAGTGTCATGGGAAACGCTAACAACACCAAGAAGACTGCATATGGTATAAGAAACACAGCTGAAACAATAAAGTAATAGTATTTGGACCGAATGATCATCGCTTAAGACAAGCAGATATGTAAGACTTTTATGCCAATACAATATTCATTGTTACCTAGTATACAGTATAAAAAATATGATTATTACAGCATATTTATATTATGGTTATTACAGCATATTTTCATATAACGCTTTTAGGGGAGTTTACAAAGTGTATTTTATTCAACAAGTATGCTATGTATTTCATAAACTAATCCCTTTACAAAGTGGCAATAGGTGTATTATGTATTTTATAAACTACTTTACTCTTTATCAAAATATTATGTTATTAAACGCAGCTTACCCCTGAATAACGTAAACATGAATAATGAATATTTTGTCGGGGTTGACGTGATTTACGCACAATTTAAGACAAATGTCTACGGCAGCGTTGAGATATCAACGTTTAGACTTAGAGATACATTATGGGAGATTCGCTAACGAGTTGGCAGTTCTCACTATAATAGTTAAAAACTAGATAACGTAAAGGCAATTTGCTGAAAATTTCATTCAAATTGATCCACTATGAACCGAAAACTAAGCGAATGAAATTTCCGCCTAGCCTCGGTCATCATTACTAAAGTCAGTACGATAAACAGCATAGTCTCGATTATCTATTTAATCGTTTAATCGAGAAGGAAAATTATGCAGTAAATCGGCTCACAATCCACTTAAGATCATAGGCTAGCGATGCCATCTAGAGTTGATTATGGTCTGGATAGGTTAATTAATGTCTGATTAATAATTTAGATAACATTTCAGGCCTAAAGAAAGACCTGCAATTGGCAGATTTAGCTCTTGCATAATGTATGTTTAATGAATTGTATAAATAAGTCGATTTTAAGGATATTAACGAATGTTCATTAGTTGTTTGTTCTCTTTCTTTGGCGGCCGGGGGGGGGGGGGGCTTGCTTTGGGGGTTTTATTTGTTGGATTGCTTTTTTTTTTTTGCTTTTTTTATTTTTGGTTTGGTGGGGTGGGGGTAGCGTCTTTATACATGTCACCAAATTTTCAATACATATGCCTTACATTTACATAGCCATGCATATTATACAAACGTGAAATCACACTGAATAAAATAGGCCTTCTCAACCATCAAAGTGAAAGAAAATTAAAGGATGAAAAGTCCTCGCGGACTGTTGTATGTTGCCTCGAACCAAAATGGGGGGGGGGGGGCTGAATGGTAAGCGTGTGCACGCTGTATCATAAAGTCTGTCATTGAGTCAATTGGCGTGACAAGGAGTAGGGTTTTCTCTGGGTCCCCCGGTTTCCTCCCACTGCTGAAGAACCCTACGCGCAAACGAATTATTGAAATAAAACGTAAAACCATGTGTTAGTCCCGAAATGACCTAGTTTGTGTCGAGTGGACGTTAAATGACGCTAATGCTGAATCTAAAATCATTGTCAGCTAAGAGCTTATTTTAACAATCTCTTAAGAACTTTTGCAATAAACTCTAGCATTAAAAGTATTGACAGAAAATACAGCGCTCGAAATTTGTGATGTCGATGATTGACTACTCCAAAACATTCCATTGAAATGTTCTTAATTCCAAAATGATAATTCCTCCTTATGCCCTATCAAGAATCCCACAAACTTGTTTTATCGAATTCACGGCAAAGGTTTTACTGCAACTTATTTAGATCTTTAGCAGTCAAAATCTAAACGGAAAGATAACTCGGCAAAACTTTTCTAATTCAATAGGATTCTTTCTAATGCCAGAACGAGCAGTCTGATTGAGTTTCAAAAACCATGGGAAGTCAGTTAAATAGAATAGATCTTAAATCGATATTATTATTCAAACTTGGTAGTATTGTTCATTTGGGCCTAAGGGTGTGTGTGTGTAGGGTTGGGGTGGGGGGACTTGTGAGATTCTGAGTCTTTCGATCTCAAATCGTGTATTTATTGTTCCCTATTCTTCTTTCAAATTTGGGCGATCTTCTTTATAAGCTTTAAAAGTCAAAGTATGGCCATATAAGTAAAGTGGCAATTCGCCTTTGAAATTATAATCCGAAATAATGAACATTTCCGACAAGTTTTGAATATAAGATGTCTTTCCTTTATTGATTAGGTCGAACGTAAATGGGTATAGAAAACTCTGAAATTTGAAATCGAAACCTGAATATCGATCGGCCCCGAGTTCACAAAGCATTCTCAGACTTTTAAGAATTGACTAAAGTATATAGAGGATATTTGTCGTTTTAGAGTGAATAACATATTTTATTTCATAGAGAAGCAAGAAAAATTATATTTTCACGAATGCGTGGCATGAGTGAAAATATAAATGTTTTCTTGCTTAGAGATGAAATAAAATATGTTATTCACGACAAAAGGACAAATGTTCTACTTATTTTATGATTTTACAATCATTTTAGGTAAAAACAACATGGACTACTGCTAGCCAGTGGAATAACACTTTTATTTCACTGACAAAACGCGGCATTCCACTACTGATCATAAAATAAAGCCCTTTATAACATTTCTTTTGATTTAATGTATTAAATACATCTATAATAAACTGTTTCAATGGCATTGAAATGACTAGAGAAGCCTAGTCGAAACGTCGCTCAGTAAAAAGCAGTAATTGTATTCCATAGAATTGTGACCTGTATAATCTATAATAAACTATGAGCAAAGTTTTGTGTTTCTTATTCAAAGATATTTCTTATTAACAGTGATTGAAAGTTGAGTAAATTCTTAACTTAAGTTTGAGAATGCTTTATGAATTGAAAAATAATTGAAAAATATGCCCTGTAGAGTGTTCACGAGAAATTATAGACGTACAAAGGTGACAATAAACGTGCGCATTATATGCTGGGTCATAAAAATGAAAAGTTAGAAACTACGGTACCTCCTCCATTCTTGGCACATAAATAAGGAAATCTCCATACGTTAGCAAGGCCTACTCCATATCCGATCAATGATAAGGTAAATTCACATCCATTTTTCCACTGCCCTCTATGCGATTCTTCTTTTGTTACAGCGTCTTTTTTTTCTAGTATGAAAGATTCCATGCTGCTATAATTGTAAAGAAACAATAATGTCGTGTTTACTCAAATTCCTTATTGCCAGGCCTAGTCTGTCTGGAAATCAAAATGGTGGTATTCTATATACGACGACACCCCCCCCCCCCCCTCGCCTGCAAGTTATTGCTTATTCTTCTTCTTCATCCGTTTACTTCGATATATTCAAAAACAATTCCTGGAATACAGCTAAAACTGAAACAATAAGCAATATTTCTCCCATATTGAGACTAACCCATAATGTATTTTGATCGAGTGGGTGTATATTACCAGGGAGATTGTGTACAGGCCACAAACATAAACAGTCATGATATCTAAGTCAACCGGTTCTATACATCGTACCTTTCCGCAACAGGGGTTAAGATTTGTTTTCGTGTTCATCCCGTATAATAACATGACCCAAAATATCTGAACATTTTTTTTTGTAACATGAGATACACAGTATACTGACAAGCGTGTCTTTCCTTTGTTCGGCAAATAAATAACAATAAATAATTTCATAGCGAAAATTGTCCCTTAATGTGACCGGTGAAGTTTACCTAAGTAGATGTTTCATAGTATACATGATACAATTCCTGCCAAAAATATTCGTTTAAATAAAGGTGCGGCTTTCGGAGTCTGGGAGGGGTTCGTAACTATCGCATTGTAAGTAGTGAGTAGTACAAAATTAATAAATTATTGTGGCATTAATACTCACAGATTTATTATTTACTTTGCTTCATGTCGGTTGGGGGGGGGCGAATGTTTAGCGCATGTGCGTTGTATGGCAAGGAGTAGGGTCGCCTTCCAACCTCGTGGGTTATCTCCGGGTCCTCCGGTTTCCTCTCACTGCTAAAGTGCTAAAGACACCTACGCACAAGCGAATTATTGAAATAAAGTTTAACACTATGTTAGTCCCGAAATGACTTAGTTTGTGTCGAGTGGACGTTAAATCCTCTCTCTCTCTCTCTCTCTCTCTCCCTGCTTCGTGCCCAACAGTCTGTTTAGAGCATATCGAGACACGTGCATCGATGACAGACCTTATTATCTAAGACGTTAAGAAAACAATCAGGGTGATTAACAAGAAATATTACGGTAGAATAAAATGTTATGTCGTCATGATTGTGTACAATAAGTGCCCAAAACTACGTTTTGGAAAAATGTTCGCTATGGATTCTGAACACCCAGATCCCCCATACTGATTTCTGGTTGCTATTGCTGGATAATCATTGATTCTGGATAATCATTGATTGAAGTAATTCGCTTGGTGAACAACGGTATTTGGGGCACCGGCCGGTGGCGGCCACCCAGCAATAAAATTCCAAGGCACGTTTAATTACAAGATACAAGAAAGCACATCTTACCTGTCTGTAGCAGTCAACTGTATTTCCCGTAAAATATGTGCTATAACTTTATAATGATTCAGGTCATCAATTATTTAACAATTGTACTGTTTAATAAAAACAAACCTTTGATGAGACGGACAGTTGGAAATTTACCGAAGGTTGGCCGTGTGCTATTTAGACCTTTGTATGAATATTTTAACAAGATCCCAACAATATAGAATATTCCCCACACAGCCACAGGTATAATCAACGAATATTGTTAAGAAGAAACGAAGTGTGACGCGTATGGTTGAAAGATTATGTCCGTTCAAGCGCAGATAGGCTGGAGCTAATTTAATTTGTTCGTTCGTTCGTTCCTGGAGTTTATGCCCACTTCCACCAAGGGTGATATCGTAGACAGACTAATTTAGTTCAGTGTGATTTGAATTTATGTAAAGATTGTTACAAAGGTTCACCAATGAGATCAAAATGCTACCAATCAGAATGTTAGTGATGATTAACAAAAGGTCATGTAAGTTGATCAGCTAACAGGAGCGGGCAGGGGTAACTCTGGTCCCCCATACGTTTACATTTCACGCACCACATTTATGGATAATTTTCTCCTCCGATTTTTTTTTAACAGGGGATCACGTGGCTAAGTGGGTAAGACGCTGGCTCGCTAGCCTGGAGGTCGGGTGTTCGATCCCTGCATTGGCCGAGAAAGTTCATCCAGATTTTCCAGCGTGGTTTCCCCTTGTCAGTGATGCAGGACGGAGGGCCTGACAAGGACAGCTGTCGAGTCGTTCGGATGGGACGAAAAACCGAGGTCCCGTGTACACATTGGCGTACACGTAAAAGATCTCTTGGCAGTTGGAATTCGATATAAGAGTAGGCCGTAGTGCCGCTGTCCGGGCAAAATTTCCTTCATGGCACACTGTATGGCGTAAGCCCGTCTTCAATAGCCCAGTTTAGGAGCAGAACAGTAGGACGTTAAACCCAACCCCATTTCATTTCATTTCATTCATTCATTTATTTTGTACAAAAATAATGTCGAATTCACAATCGGGGCCGATGGGCCATCGGAGCACATTCGCCTTACCGAGCCATACTTGGTCCCTGGATACTAATATAATCAAGTAGAATGATAATAATGGTCTACAAAATGCGCATTGGCACCTCATACTAAATGATGAGATTTAGGTCAGGGGGCAGTTTCACAAAGCCACTATAAAAACAATTAGTGTAACTTTGTGGTAACATAAACTTATGAAAAAATCGCGTTTCACTAAACTTCTTAGGATAATCGTAACTTTTATCGTAAGGTCTACGACAACTCTCATCCTGTCGTATGTAGGTAGTTTTCGCATGCGATCCGCTAAAATAAGAGGCGGCCATTTTGTCAAAGATACGTAAGACATTCCTACTTACGACAGGGTGGGAATTGTCGTAGATTTTACGATAAAGGTTGCGGTTTTCTTATGTTGAGTTTAAGTTAAACGCGATTTTTTCTAGAGTTTACGCTGCGATAAAGTTACGCAAACTTTTCGTCATACTAGGACAATTTACTGTAGAACAAATCGCCGGAAGTGAGAATACAGTATGGGGCAAATATGTCCTTGACGTAATTCTGAAAGGATCAGCTATTTAATGTGCACTTGAAATAGCTGAACAAATGCCTCATGTTACGATTGATGCCTAAAATATAATGTTGAATATCAAGAGTATATCCAAGAGAAAAAAAACCTATACCCCTAGCAAATTTACTAAAGTCATTGGAAGGATCATGTTGCCCTTCCCGAGAAAGGGGTTCATGGAACAACTATTTTATGTGCCCTTGAAATAGCTGATCAAATGCCGTATGTTACGATTAATGCCTAAAATATAGATTGAATATCAAGAGTACATCCATATGAATAGCCCTGGCAAATAGACTAAACAACACTTGAATCTAAAATCATCCCATCCAACAAGAAGCTTCTCTGCATAAGAGACAATGATAGATCTAGAACGATCGCTGGTGAAAGTAGGACTTCATTGTTATTGTAAGTAGTTACTGAGACAGGACAACTGCCACTTGACCGAACATTAAAAATAACAATACAACACGAAGTGTTGAGGTAGGACCATCCACGTAAGAAAATAATGTGAGTGAAGAACCAGATGAAGAGTCAAACCTCGAAGCCGAGTTTATCGCCACAACCGATTTAGAAAACTCATAATCAATCGTATTGACTCGAAATTCAAGTGACTCCCAAATAGCAAGTCTTGATGTCAACAGCATTCGTTGTGTCCCAATTGTATGCTATTTAGATTATACGCTCCAATATCTCTATTGAAACATTTATTTGATGGATCAATTTGTATATATGGTTTCAGGGCTAGAAAATATCACCTTCCTCATCAGGATGTTAATTAATACTCTCCGCCGCCTCTTATGATTCACACTGGTTATTTCGATTATGTCGAAAGGGTTTTTTTTTCAGTTGTCATGATGTGGTATTTGCTCAGCTGCACTGGTAGCACCAACTGCAGATTTCATTATCTGAACAAAATACACCAAAGACAGCTGTCTAGTCGTTCGGATGGGACGAAAAAACGAGGTCCCGTGTACACATTGGCGTGCACGTAAAAGATCCCTTGGCAGTTGGAATTCGGTATAAGAGTAGGCCGTAGCGCCGCTGCCCGGGCAAAATTTCCCTCATAGCACACTGTTTGGCATATGCCCGTTTTCATTAGCCCAGTTTAGGAGCAGAACAGTAGGACGTTAAACCCCTATTTTATTTCCAAAGATTTTGTGCTCGTGTATCAGATATCGATAATAATTATCTCATTCCGTTTAGGAATGTGTCATCTTGTGGCGCAGTTCACTTATTTGTTCAGTGGAACCTATTCTATATAATGTGCTGTCAATAATGTTCAGATCCCCATCTTTGATCAATACATTATTAGAGAATTTGTATTGTTAATATATATGTTTATTGTATTTCAAATAACTTCACTACAAACATTTTCAATTCATTCACTGTGTTGTTGTGCTTTGATCAAACTGATACTGCGTTGGCATAAATAGTGTAATGTAACATTTATGGCATATGTAAATTACGCCAATAGAATAACTTTACAATATTTTGCATGATACAAGTCTGTTATATCAGGACTAATCACATTATCAATGAATGTAGAATTTATATCCATGTTGCTGTGTCGAGACAAAGCGTAAACCTTTGGCATAATGTGCGGATGGACAAGCATTCTCCCAAGTCATGTAACCTATGAGAAAGTCCGACTACCTATGAGAAGGTCGTATTAGGATTAGGACAGCGTAACATTTTGCTTTAAGACAGGTTGAAAATAACAGAGATGTTATTTTTATCAATAAAATAGCTGAAAACTGTATTCATAACAACATCAATGATTTACAAGTTTTAGAGGTGTTAAAAAATCATTAGAAACATTTGGCGCATTAATGTAGAACGGATACCTTTATTTCATCATTTCAATTATCAATATGTCATGTTTGACTTAGTTATGATAAAGGGAAACCAGTTTTCAAACAGTGTACAATCAATATTTCTACATGTATTTAAGACTAACAATAATAATACAAGCTCTATATTATGTGTGTTTCTGTTCTGTAAAAGATAATTCATGCATGTATATATTTGTTCAAACGGAATGTCAACCTGATCTTTTTCTAAAGTGCATACTAATCGAGTCACCTATTTACATTTTTAATACCCGAAAACGCCTATAGAGGACAGACAGCTAGCTTATATGATTTAAAGTATGTCAGAATGGCGTAAAGTGGTGAATTTTTTGCCTGGATGTATTTTTTTATTTTGTTTATGCGCTTATCTACCGTGTAATTTATGTACTTTAATAAAAACTTAATATTTCTATGTACTTTTACCTGAGAATAGAATCTTTTATTAACTTTATGCTTGAATTATCTTGTTCTTAAATTGTACCCATATATATCAGATTAACACAAAGCCAAACCAACGCCCCCACCTCTTCGACTATTCCAGATAGATTAAACATGGCTGATGTTCAGTAGCGCGATGTAAACAAATTACGATTTTTATACGCCCACATTTTCATGTGGACGTATATTGCCGTCGTCCGTCCACAATTGTTTGTGGACACTCTACAGGTCAAAATTCTTATCCGATTTTGACGAAACTTGAAATATAGGTTTATCTCCAAAGATCTCGGTTGCTTTCGATATTGGCATGTATCGGATCGAAACTTCATGGATTATGGCCACTGATTGTACGAAAAATCACGTTGTTAGCTTGTGGACCCTATAGAGGTCACAATTTTTATCCGATTTTGTTGAAACTAGATATGTAAGTTTATAACCCAAACATCTCGGTTCCTTTCGATTTTCGCGCATATCGGATCGTAACTTCCTGAATTATGGCCCCTGATTGTACGAAAAATCGCGTTTTTAGTGGACCCTATAGAGGTCATAATTTTTATCCAATTTAAAAAACCGTTTTATTATACTACCGTTACACCCTAAGGGGGGGTTGAATTCGAATTTCGTGAAAATCGGCCCAAAACTGACAGACAAAATAGCTGCCCCTCGTACTCACATTTCGTAAAAATTATGATATATCAAGGTTGTGGACTCTCTAGAGGTCACAATTTTCTTCTGAGTTTGGTGAAACTTGAAATGTAAGTTTATAACCCAAAGATCTTGGTTCCTTTCGATATTTCCAGATATTGGACCGTACCTTCCTGAATTATAGCCCCTGATTGTACGAAAAATCGCATTTTTAGCTTGTGGATTCTATAGAGGTCATATTTTTTATCCGATTTCAAAAAACGTTTGAATATATCACCGTTACACCCTAATAATGGTTGAATTCAAATTTCGTAAAAATCGGACCAAAACTGACAGACAAATGGCCGCCCCGCGTACTCAAATAACGTAAAAACAAGGTATATGAATGTTGTGGACCCTGTAGAGGTCACACTTATTATCCGATTTTAAAAAAAATGTTTGAATATATCTCCTTTAAACCCTAAGGCGGATTGAGTTCGAATTTCGTGAAAATCGGACCAAAACTGAAAGAAAAAATGGCCGTCCCTCGTACTCAAATAGCGTAAAAAAAATAGGGTATATCAAGGTTGTGAACCCTCTAGAGGTGACAATTTTCTTCTGATTT